GGGGGGGGGCGGTCCGGAAGTCCATCCTTAGGAGCGAATGGTCTAAACATCTTAAAAGCTCCTAGACTATTTCATAAACCTTTCACATCATCACCCCTCTACAGATAGTCCTCAACTTATAACAGTTCACTTAGTGACCATTCAAACTTACAACGGCACTGAAAAAAGTGACTTACGAGTCACGACCGTTTTTTACACTTATGACTGTTGCAGCATCCCTGTGGTCACGTGATTTACATTTGGGTGCTTGATCACTGATTCACATTTATGAGAGTTGCAGGGTCCTGGGATCATACGATCCCCTTTTACGACCTCAATTGTGGTCATAAGTCAAGGACTATCTATACTCTTGAGTCTTGATGGATCACTCTAACAAATTTCCTGACAGTTAGAACAATTAACCAGTGGAACAACTTGCCTCCAGAAGTTGTGAATGCTCCAACACTGGAGGTTTTTAAGAAGAGACTGGACAGCCATTTGTCCGAAATGGTATAGGATCTCCTGCCTGAGCAGGGGGTTGGACTAGAAGACCTCAAGGTCCCTTCCAACTCTGTTATTGTATAGTCCTTGACTTACAATTAACCAGTGGAACAGCTTGCCTTCAGAAATTGTGGGCACTCCATCACTGGAGGTTTTTTAGAAGAGACTAGACAGTCACTTATCTGAAAGGGTATAGGTTCTGTTCTATTCTATTCTATTCTATTCTATTCTATTCTGTTCTACTCTATTCTATTTTCTGTTCTATTCTATTCTATTCTATTCTATTCTATTCTATTCTATTCTATTCTATTCTATTCTATTCTATTCTATTCTATTCTATGCCATTCCATTCCATTCCATTCCATTCCATTCCATTCTATTCTATTCTATTCTATTCTATTCCATTCTATTCTATTCTATTATTTTCTGTTCTACTCTATTCTATTTTCTGTTCTATTGTATTGTATTGTATTGTATTGTATTGTATTGTATTGTATTCTGTTCCGTTCCATTCCATTCCATTCTATTCTATTCTATTCTATTCTATTCTATTCTATATAAAGTCACTAACAAAGAGAGTTTATTTCTCCAAAGAACAATACTGAGGACATCTGTTTCTTCAAAGCTACCTCTCTTGAACTTCTTGACACCTGAAAATTTACAGTGGGCCATATAAACATTTTTGGCCAAGCCATTACAAAGTGGCTAATACACACACTTGGCAGCAAACACAGGGAGGAAGCAATAGAGTA